TGCGCTCACCATTGACATAGAGACTGTCAGGGTCCAGGGTGAAGGAGCCCAGCTGGGTGAATCCAGTGGTCAGCTGGCTGAGCTCCCTGTACAGCAGCTCTCTGTCCAGTCCAGGGCCTGTGGGGTCTGGATGATGGGTGCAGATGGCGTCCACTCCTGTGGCTGACCCATCCTTCTTGGGCCTGGGGTGGATGGAGAATAGAATGGCAATGAACAACTTCTCCATAGAGTTCTGACATCCTTCGGGACCTGGATGTGAAAGCGCCAGAGCCATGTGACAGCTGATGGGGAAGTTACATAGCAGCTGAATTTTAAGGAGAAGATAATTAACTCAATGCTGCTTCTGGGATTGGTGGAATCTTCTGGGTATTCGTGTGGGAAACCATGTGCCCAACCTTAGGGGGCAGCAACCTAAAGTTGGAGGGAAAACCACTAGCAGAGTTTGGTTTTGATCCATCGATCTCTGGGTTATGGGCCCAGCATGCTTCCTCTGTGCCACTCTGTAATGGGGAAGTTAGGATTGAGACTTAAGTTGTTCCTGCGCACTGGTGTCTGGTCCAGCTTTCCCGGAGAGAATGAGAAGGCCGGTGGCAGAAATGTTATAAAATCATAACCCAGATCCTGAGTCCTCACAGAAGACACTCAGGAGGCCTGAAAGGCAGGATGTCCTGAATTGGGGATTATGCCAAGGGGAAACAATGTCTTTGTAGAAATCTTAGAGGCAGAATTGAGAATCAAAGGGAACCATCCTTCTGGTGATAAAGAGAAAGAAGGAATTTGCCAAGTGTGATCAGGCTGGGGGTCCAGTACTGCTCATGGATGCTGCAGATTTTAGGCCATTTGTGGGGGAATTTGGGAGGAGCAGGGCGGATCCTGGTGTGGATTTCTGGATTCCTGGTTGTGTTGAGGAGATCCAGGGGGAGGACTGGGAGAAAGCTGACTCACATTTTGGTGTGGGAACACCTGGAATATCTCTTGGGAGGCTGTGGTAAGAACTCACCTGAGCCGGTCCAGTCTGCAGCCAGAGTAGAGAGGGCCGACACTGGTGTTGTGGAACAAGGGTCCGAGCTGTGGGGTAGAAATGAAGAGCTGAGCAGAAGGGTGGAGAGGCAGAGCATGGTGCACAGATTTGTGTGGAGTTGAGTGGGAACAGGAGACATGGATCTGGTAGGAGTTAGAAGGATGGGGTCTTCATGGTGGGAGGTGATGACCTGATGTGGGTGGGGCCCCAGCGGTGGCAGGGGCTGGACTGTTGTGTATGGGGCCTGAGACATGGGAGGAGCTGGAGTGAGGTAGGTGGGGCCTTTGAGGTGGGAGAGGTTGGAGTGCTGTGGGTGGTGCCTCAGTGAGGAGGGTATGGCCTGAGAGAGGTGGGAGTGGCCTGAAGAAGGGGGAGGAACTCTCACCAGGCCCTGCAGGACCCTCTCCGTGGTGTTGAACTTCCTGGACCCTGGTTCCTGCATGCCTTCTCTGTAACCCAGATTAGTGATGGTGAAGTTGAGGGTGAATG